TTGATGGACCGCAGTCGTGACATAAATGGTATTTCTGAACTTCAAAAATATCCTTATTCGAGAATATAATTGGATTTGGCGGATCCAATTAAAATAAATAGGTTAAAAAACTTCCACACCTTTGGAGGTGCGGAAAAGTCCGCGGAAAAATCATCATAAACAAGGCCTACTAAACCAGTTGACAACTTTCAAAATAGCTGGAAAAGATATTTTGGATGGCATGTTCATCAGTGTTGTATTCATCTTGATAGGGATAGAGTAAAGAACAAGTGTCATTCAAAATGTCCGAGAAGGGATGGATGATAGATACTCAACATTAAACATACCATTAAGTTGACGTCCACAAAGCCCACGGAAAGCCTTATTACAAGCGCCTAACCTTAGTTTATATTGAGTATACACATAATTCATGTAAGTGCATCCAGGATCATTTGTGGGTGGTACTCTAGAAGCCCAGAGGTTTGGAAGCGCTTCTGTTCCATCTTTAAAAACCCATACACCAGGAGATTTTTTCGTAAGATTTACATATATCTCGCTCGTATTCTGGCTAAAATTATACAAGAACAGAATAAAGGGATGATTTAGACGGGCGTTATATACAAATACCTTATAGGAAAAGTATACTTATATAATATAATATATAATGTATATAATATGGACAAAAGAACAAGTTAAGGTAAAGGTAATGTATGAATATGAGTTGATCGAAAACTTGTGTCTTTTGTATCAAAACTTTGGTCCAAGCAAAAAATGGATTGTCCCCTGAATAAATTCTGACAACCGACCAATACCATTACTGAAACGAAACAACATACACCATTGCGACTTCGGATATATTACTTGTCCCACCGAACAATTAAGTCTAGCTACGGGGTTCCGAGGATTCTTTTTCTTCGATCTATTATAGATGCTCGAGAACTTGGATCTTACAAAGCTCAGACCACACCAAGGACGGGGAACATTGAATATCAGCATTGGGTGATGTTAATAGCGACATTCGAACCTAGACGGTTCACTGAATAAATGTTATTCTACTTACAGAAAATCACTATTATTGACTAGAACTTCAAGATTTTCGATTGTATAAATGTCTGGAAAATAAGTGAATTCCCCACCATTTATAGCACATTTGCTATTAATATCATTATAAAGTTCTTTAGTTGTAGTCCAATAACACAATGAACCATAAACTACACTTGGACAAACAAAAACACCATTCACATCTGTAATATGATATGATTTTATAATAATATGACATACAGGGTGGTCAGTGGAACTACGCATGGTTCTTACATAGAAATAGCACACACGAACGTAGTTCACAGCCAATTTGAATCTCTTCCAAGAGTTATAAGTCGAATTTCGAAAAAGGTTATAATATTGCAACTTATCCATCAAATCACATTTAAAGGTTTAGAAATGGTATTAAATTTGATTTGAAGGCTTTAAAAGTTATTTTGTATTTTGAAAATGCTATCAAATATAGACTTATTAATCTTGAATTTAATGATGTCGAACGTATTTTTATTGAAATTTTCTCCAATGTGTTAGGTAAATCATTTTGTCTGTAGTTTACCTAAGTACATGTAACTAAATCAACGATTGAATGGTATATTGATTATGTTTGATAATATCATTCATAATTTAACTTCATCAAGAGGCTTTAAACCATTGTTTTTAATTGGAGATTTTCATATTGATTTTAATGTTTCAATTCCTTCAAAGTGGGATATGATTTTATCTTCTTATAATTTAGTTCAGTTAATAGACAAACCAACTCGATGTACCGATACGACAGCGACTTTTAGATCAGTGTTAACGCCACAGTGTTAAACAATTATCTCAACCTAAATGGTTTACGAATGATGTAAAATTAGCTTGGAAAAAGAGAGATCAATTTAAAAAGCCAGAGATGCAATAAACTACAAATTATATAAAAAGATAGTTAAGAAGTTAATTTTAAAAATTCCAAATCTGAATATATTAAAACATCTGTAGAGAATGTCTGGAAATATTTTAAAGTCATTCAAGGTAAATGATTGGAATCACCATACCCACATTCTATTGTTCACAACGGAAGGTCAGTATCAGACCTGGTAGAAATGGCCAATGCCTTTAATAATTACTTAACCAGTATAACTGATGATATTAAGCCCCCTTATATACATCTTAGCAGGCCAAATGTTATTGAAGACTTTGTAAATAGTAAATTACGTGCAATGTCCTTTCACTTTCGACATGGTACATTGAACAAAGCATACTTGTCTTTGCGTTTTTCACATTGCACTAGATACATTACATCTTCGTCTTAGTATCTTCTACATTGCATTAGCGAACGTGATTTTATGTAATTTAACATTTGCATTCTGAATTAGACGTATTTTGACATAAGTAAAAGAGGTATTTTGTCCTTGAACATTGCACAGATGTATTGTGTCATATGTGACATAAGTACATATCATCTAATTCTGAACACGATTGACCTCCATATAAATTAGCCCGCATTATACCGATTCATAAAAAGCGGTAAAAGAGAAGTTGAACAATTATAGACCTATTTCTATACTTCCTATTATTTCAAAAATATATGATCTCTTATGACGGTGAATATTAAGAATTTCTTTAATAAATGTTGACAACTGCAATTATTCTAGCAGGAATAATGTTGTCTTTAGTGGACTGTTTGGTTTTTTGATTGAGAACTAGGTAAAATAATACGACACGCTTTTTATTCAAGGGACATAACTCCAGACCTACTATTTAGGCTGTGTACATTTGTTAACTGATAAATGTAATACAAAACGAAACAATCAACATCTCTTTTTCTTGAGATTTAAATTCTATAGTTAAAATAAACTTAAATTGAAACTAAACACTGAAATTATCAATTGAAAACAATTACAAAAATCTATCAATATCGTACATAATCTTCCAAGTATTTAGGGGGTTTAATAGCACGTTTAGGTCTGTCATTAATTGCACTAGAGTTTGACAGCTCAACTGGAATATCATTATGCATAGTATCATTTCCAGGATTGACAACAGGTTCGTCAGTATTGGTTGTATGATCAAAATCATGATCAAATATAGGAGATTTATCTCTTATGTTTACAAACAATTTTGTTGGTCTAATATGAATACGGTTTCTGCGATAAATTGCGCCATCATGACTCATGACATTATAAGTGCGATCACCTAAAATTGCAACAATTTTGCCTAATTTCCACATTTCATTTCGCTTGTGTTCAAAATAAACAGATTGACCTTCACTTAATTTAACTAAATCACATGCAC